TGTCAAAATAAAATGAAATTTTATGTAGGATTATTTTGAAAATAATCTAGGAAATTAATTTTATGCACACACCTTTTATGTGTATTCCAAAGAAACATGCTTAAAATGATTATCTTCGTGTGGATATAACTGAAATCTGATTAGTCTATATAAAATTTAAATTTTAATCAAAATATGAAGGGTACAGGCTGAAAATTCAGTATTTGTATGCGTTTAATAAAGGATAAACAAGAAGAAAACCGTTCTTCGGAAAACTTCTACTTTGTAAAAAGATTAAACACTTTTCATTCGAACACCACCACCAAACTCGATTAGCAATGTAAGAACATTTCTGCCATTTCTGTAAATTTTAATATAACTTTACATTCTAAGATATAACATTATTGGCAAATGAAATTTATTTGAAAATATTTGTTACATACATTTTCCAGGTAATTAACAGTTCATAAATATAGCAAAACTCGCTATAGATGATACGACCAGGCACTTTCAAAAGACTACACTAAAGCTGAATTCAGGTTCTACCTTGGTTAGGTGATGAATTTGGCCAGGGATAAATGTAAAGCTCTAGCCAGAAGTAAGGAGGAAACAGACATTGGCAGCATTTCTGTCTGATTTTAAAAGTCATGCTCCTCAACTGAACGAAATGCATATATCGTAACATTCTGTTGCACACCATTTGTTATTCAACAGACGTCATTGATGAAACGTCTTATGTCAAACGCGTCCTCCTAAAACTTACTTAAAAATTTCTTACATCACACAATGTGTTTTTCAACCATATCTAAAAGTTTATATATACTGCACTGCATGTTTCGACCGACAATTGTCATCATCAGACGTTTAAAATTGTTGGTGGAAACTGCTGTGTTTTCCTTCTGTTATTCCAGTGTTCGATGTGTAGTCCCATCTACGCGCTCGTGTATTTCATTGTGTTGTGTGCCTCTCTGTTGCGTTGTGTGTCTGGTGTCTATATACATGATGTTGGGTTCCTCTCTGTTGTGTTGTGTGTCTGGTGTCTAGATACATGATGTTGGGTGTCTCTTCTTGTTGTGTTGTGTGTCTGGTGTCTAGATACATGGCGATGGGTCTCTCTTCCAGGTGTATTGTGTGTCTGGTGTTTAGATACATGATGTTGGGTTCCTCTCTGTTGTGTTGTGTGTCTGGTGTCTAGATACATGATGTTGGGTGTCTCTTCTTGTTGTGCTGTGTGTCTGGTGTCTAGATACATGGCGATGGGTGTCTCTTCCAGGTGTGTTGTGTGTCTGGTGTCTAGATACATGGTGTCTGGTGTTTAGATACATGGTATTGGTTGCCTGTTCTTGTTGTGTTGTATATCTGGTGTCTAGATACACAACACAACAGGAAGAGACATGCAGCACCATGGAATACACGAACGCGTAGATGGGACTACACATCGAACACTAGAATAACAAAACAGATGCAGGCAGCTTCCACCAACAATTTTAAACATCTGATGATGAGCAATATCGGTCGAAACATGTAGTGCAGTATATATAAACTTTAAAATAAGGTCGAAAGACGAATTGTGTGATGTAAGAAAATTTTAAATAAGTTTTAGAAGGATGCGTTGCACGTAAGAGGGAGGACCATTGATATTTGTTGAACATATTGTACCACTAGTTTCATTAGGGGTTATGATGACGTTCATAAAAATTATGACAGTTTAATGGCACAAAGAACAACAATGTATGGTCTGCCTCCGAACTTGGGAGGTGTTATTTTATCATTGTTTTTACTGTATAAACACAATCTCATGCACAATATAGGTAGCGAGTGTCGAGCTGTTTTCCTGTTTTGAATGGCTGGTTTACAAGGATAAACGTATTAGTGCTACAGGGACAATAGCAAAATTTGTTTCCAGTTAAAAGGGATTTGGTCTCACAGGGGGAGTTGTGACGTCCTATTTACGGCCGCTAGTATCTACTTGTTGATAAAACAGCCTTCATTTCAAACAGCTTTAGCAATGCACTGCTTGATGGTACTGATTCTGTTAAAATAATACTGCTTTCCTATTGCTGCTAAACCCTTAATCTCAACATCGGCAAAGTTTTATGGCTGAATCGGCAAAACCTTTACATGCACACTTGCTTTCAGAGAATGCTTTTGTATATTGGCGATTTATTTTATCTCGCTTCGAAGTTACGCTACAAAATATTACGACTCCTTACTTAACTTAACTAAGCTATTGTAATAGAAGAACTCTGTTGTCCTAAGTACATACTGGAAGACGCGTAGTCGCGAGTATAGCAGGTCCAAATATCATATGAAACATGATACAAGTGCTGAATTCTACTTTATTATAGTAAACTACAATTAGGTTTCGCAATAGCAATGCCATGCAGTGCTTGAAACATAACCCAGCAACTTTTTTTCTTTCTTGGCACTACAGCCCCAGTGGGCCTAGGCCTACCTCCATGAACTTCTCCGTCTAGATCTTACACGTTCGGTAGGACTCCTTGGGCGGGTGATCAGCTCGTCGCAAGGCCTCTGCCTATACACAAACACAGAAAAACGCACACACACAAACTAAATATCCATGCCCTGAGTGGGATTCGAACCCACGATCCGGGTTTCCAAGCGAGAGAAGACAGTACATGCCAACGCAGCAACTAGTCTGCATAAAAGGAAACAGGGCAGAGGATTTCAGAGTCATCATAGAATGATAAAGTAGTTTCCCTGTTTAGAATGTTTCGTTCTGAGAATATGAGCTACAATGTAGCTGCTACATCAATGGCCCGCAAACGGAAGTTAAGCTTGCATTTCATAGTAAAATGTTTCATGGTCTATTTACAAAAATATTAAAAAAAAAACACCAGCAAAATGTTGTTTATAATAAAAACATATCTTATATAATCTGGTAACATTTCTATTAATAATGATTATAGGCTTGTTAAAAGGTAAGGTAAAGTAAAGGTAAAATTGTCTCTCTGTTTAATTAATTAAGTGCTACGCCATGAAGGCGTAGGGGGGGTATCGGCTCTATATGGCTGTCAGCTCTTAACATCACGCCCCGGCCGATTTACCTCCGGGGGAAACAGCTCCCAGTACCCGTTTGATATGAGCCTGATGGGCTGCGAAACCGGTCTGGTCACTATGGAGTAGAGAAAGCTGTGTTGCCTCTGCCGGAAATCGAACTCCTGGCATCAAGCCCGTAGCCTGTCCCTATTCCGACTTAGATATCTCGGCTCCCTGCTTGTTAGAAGCCACTGTAAATTACATCATGAAGTTTAAATAAATTCTAGTGTGGCTAGATATTAATATTCGCAGAATCTATTAGCGGGAAGGAAGCCACTACCAAATATTGTCTCTCATGTAAACACGCCCATGAATCAATTTCCCGATCGGTAGAGGCAATGTTGGACGTAGCAGGGAACAAGGAGTAGAATTAGGACAAGGCACGGCTCTACAGGAATGTGGACACTGTTTACATTGTTTTAGTGTCGTGGCAGAAACAAGCTCGAAGTTACCATTCGCTGCAGCTTTGCGCATGAGCTGTGCTGTTTGTCTGAACATTCAAACCAGTCTTTGGTTCGCCGCTGCAACAAGGAAAGCAAACACTACTTTTTCCATACTTTCCTCTGTTTCAATGAATCTGAGACTTCAACATTACAAAGAATCGTCGCCATTTCACTGGTCCAATTAAGTTAATAAAGAAATAAAGAAGTACAGATTTGCAGGAACTGCGTGCTTTTAAGACAGCTGCTGCTCTTCATGACGGTGGTAAAATTTGTAACTCTCTTTGTGCGAAACGAGAAAGTGAGATAATGATTTCCATTTCTTTTCAGTTGCCTTACAGCCTAATTGTGCCATTAAATTCATACTGTTTTACACGACGATTTCGGAATCGTTAGCTGCAACGGGAAATAAAAGTAACAGGGTCGTTTTACATCGCTTTGACTACATTTGTTTGCACCACACATTGAAATTAAGATTGAACAAAGAAAATTAACTGTGAGCCGATGTTTCACTAAAATAACGAATGTAATATTATCATTATATTCTTACGCGTTTAACTTACGGGATCATTAGTATTCCTTCGGTAATCGCCCGACATTTCGAAGAGAAACGCTTCCCACGTAGGGGCAAAATGCTTCATCACAAAAGATATTGATTTTCAGTGACTGATACATAACCCCATTCTGCAGGATTATGTTTCTCTTTAATGGAGCCAAAGACCAGATTCTTCCCTTATAAGAAATTTAATTACAAAGACATGAAGGCCGAAGTGTGATATAGGTGAAATGAATATTGTTTCATAAAACTAAAATAAAATAAAAAATACTTGAAACGTCCTTCTGAAACCATAGTTGTATCCAATGGGAAGCTGGTTAATTGCTTATTTCCGAACGAGTGATGGAGCCTTATTTTAAAACTTGAAAACAATTTGTAAATATTAGTAGAATGATAAACTAATTTCGTGATACAATTAAGCCCACTGTTTCAAATTCAGTAGACTAAGCAAATTACTATGGAAGAGGAATAAACCGACGTTACGGAAGATAATATACATGAGTTTAATAGACGAAATGAAGAGACATCTTGTAAAACATTAAAAACATTGGCCCGTAATTGTTCAAATGTTCTGTAAATTCACCACACATAAAAGTTCTAGACTAATTTTATCTCATAAAATTTTCTATCTCTAAAATTCCTTCTGTAAATAATACTGATAGAAACAGAACTTAGATATCAGGAGACGATCTGTTTCTCTGACGCGCCGTCCTCGTGACATAAGAAGGTAAAGCTGTTCCTCTGCGTAATTAATCAAGCACTACGCCTTGAGGGAGTACGGGGAGTGGAGGTATAGATCCATATTTTCTTTGCCTCGGCACTAGGTGGAGGTGAGGGGTCAGCTTCATGCCCCGGCCGCTTTACTCCCGTGGAATGAGCCCCCGCTACCCAGTGGATAGGAGGCTGGATGAGCCCCAGAGCCGGTCTAGACGACATGGAGAGACAAAAATTCTTGCCCCCACCAGGACTCGAACTCCGACCTCTTGGTCGTCCAGCCCGTAGCCAGTCGTCATACAGTCTACGCTATCCAGGCTCCTGGTCCTCGCGACCTAAGCTTTAGAAAAGAACACGACTGACAGCATTTCTACCTGTACAGTCGCACGAGCGCTTTAAAGACTCGCTTCAGTTTCATGTTCAGTATTGCGACAGTAACTGAAAATCTTCCTCGGTTTATAAACTGACTATGCGTGTTTTCAACGCTATAAAATGTTCAAGACCTCTCGCTTCCAGTGCGACGGATACACTGTGCTGTTTCTCATTATTTACTGCATTTCATTTCTTCTCTTTCATATTTTTTGGAATGATTTTCGCAGCCATATTACAAACCGGAACGCTATGCCATCTTTAAAAACTACGAAAATAAATTTGATACTTAGATGTAAACTTCAAATTTTAACTAATTCCTCATTTGACAGCTGACGTAATATTATACGAGTTGGCATTTCTCTGATATTTTTCCCTTCCGGTTATAGAGTCATTTTCAGAGTGACGGTCCGCATCTGAAGTGTAAAAACATCTGCACCTGACTCTAGAACTTAAACTTTCTAGGCGATAAACAAGTTGTACAAAAACATTGTTTACTTTCGGTTAGATGTCCAGTAAAAACGTTTCCCTATAAACGATAAAACTGGCAGCGGAAAATTAAGTTGTCGGGTACTTTCACTTATTTTGTTCGTAATCTGATCCTTCTAATTAAACTTTGCACAGCGCGTTGAAGAAATAAGAAGCGTACTTCGTTTCTCCAACATGCTGGTTAAAAATCACTGTCGAATTTAGAATTAAAACGCGCTAATTATGTGAGGTTTGTGGTTCTCACAGCGGGAATTGTGAAGAGTACTGCCTTCTAGTATGACGTCTTGCAGTATGATAGACCTTTATCGACGTTTCGTAAGAACCTACTCTTTGCGTCGTCAGGGTTGAATAACGAGAGGGATGGAAGAGTAGCAATCTCCTCCGAAACGCTGGTCTCTATCTACCAAACTGTATGGTGTTGCATCCCAGAAGACAGCTATCCCCTAATAATTTATATATTTTGATTATCAGTACTAGAAGATTTCCAGCGGTGATGCAGCCTAGCCCGTCTCTTCGTGTCACATGACTGGCTACTGCAGGCTGCAAGACATTGGATGGGTGAGCACGTGATCTAACAACGCTGGCGTTCCGGCAGCTAATCCTGTGTCTGTTCGGAGATCATCGTCATCAAAGTCGAAATAACGGCTCTGAAAATAAAACACAAACAAAGAAATAAGCAGACGATATATAGCATCATTATTAGACTAGCAATTTATTAGGCTGTGCCACAGCCCAGGCGCTCAGCCGCCCCCTCCCCACTGCGACGGTCATGTGAGTATTTATGGTGGACTAAATTATACGATGAGGAAGGTTTTATCTGTGTACTTCGGTTTCCCCTGCCAATTCTCATTCCACCAAGTGCTCCACATTAAATAATCATCCTACGCTGTATAGTCTCGACACCAACAGCGTTGTTAGATAACCGACTTAAAATAATATACCGGTAAAAGCTATCCCTGTAACAGGCCGTGAAGGCGCATTGGGTTGTGAGACGTCGAGGCTACCATATTTTCTCTAGACAGTCGGCTCACAGATGGTGGTGAGGTTGTTAGCCTTACGCGCCGGCCGCTCTTTACCCCCAGGAAGATTTCTGGCACTCATTTCTGTTAGAGGCTGAGTCAAACCCAGAGCAATAGTGCGGCTGGAAGGATTAGGTAAATTGAAAAAATTTACCTCATCGGGACTCTAACCCGCGACCTTCCGGCTAGTAGCCTAGTGCCTCAACCAACTACGCTACCGCATGTTCCCACAGTACTTACTGTCACATCGGAAAGAAAGCCTATACCAATTCATCTGTTCGCTCTCACATACTGTCTGTCACGTGCATGTCGGTGTGAGAGTTCCGAATTGGACATTAATTCGTCGGTTCTTGTCCGATTTCTGAGTATCTACTAGGACAGTACCTCATGTCTATTGTACCGACGCTATATAACTTAGATACTGATATCGTCGTTAAATAACCAACTTAAAAATAATGTTTGTTGTATGTTACTGTACAAGAAAATTTACAAATACGCCAGAATTTTTAGTAAACTAACGAACAGATGGGATTTGTATCAAATAGAAGGTATGGGTAAATTTACATTGTTTGTTATTCACAACTTATACTGTAGGGCCTGTTATGATACGTGCGTGTCACCTTCCCACATTGAACGAAGGTTACAGATTTAAATGAGTTCGACAAGAGGGTGCTCAGGAGGGCATGGTCTCTGTGGACCTGGCAAAGATGAAATAACAAAGGACTGGGGGGACTGAACGACCAGGTTTTCGATGTCGTGTAAGCTACTGTAGCTGTAATGCTCTAGCTGCGATAGACACGAAGGGAGGGTTGCTGATTGTAGTAAGGACGGCGAAAGCGAGGTTATGCAAAGTTCTTCGGAAAACCTGAAGGCAAGAGGCCTCTGGGCAGGGTCTCATGGTGAACTTTTGCCTACTCGGTGATGTAGGTTCTGATTTCTAAAGAACTGGGAATTTCTTGATAAAAGTAATAATTATCAGCTGCTCAGGAATGTCCTAGATCATAGCTACTTAGGTACAGTTGGCCGCACCGTAGCTCAAGCGGTTAGTCGCTGGCTTCCCATCGCGGCGTCCCGGGTTCGATCCCGGGAATCCGGTCCAGTGGGATTTGTGGTGGACAAAGTGGCGCTGGGGCAGGTTTTCTTTGAGTACTTCGGTTTCCCCTGCCAATCTTCATTCTACCAATTGCTCCACAATCACCCTCACCTATCATCTGGGGCTGGTACAATAGGCCAGAAGTGGCCGCAGTACAAGAGACTTAGTCTCACCTCACTAGCAATAAAAAATACTTAGGTACAGTGCCGATATCCACATCGGCAAACACTTGATGCGCGCCTTCAAAACTTCACAAAAGTCAGAAGCTGTACGTCTGCTGGTGAATTATATGTTTTGACACTGGGACTAAAACCGTGCATGAAATTATTGGTAAATATTTTATTATTTTTTAGAGAAAAGCACTGATTAGGCGTTTGAGTTATATAACACTCTCACCTGGCATTCGATGCATCTACAGCTGTCATTCATGCTACATGTCAAGCCCAGCAGCGCCGCCGCCTCCCTATATAGTTCAGTACTCGATTTCCGGCGCTCTTTCCGCCACGTCTTGGTGACAAAGGGACCATCTTGTTTCCTGCTTCCATCTGGTCGACGAGAGGACGAACTACCAGAGTTTCCATCACTATTTGGTGCCACTAACGCTCTGCCGGCCGGAGATCCGAACAGACTCACCAAACCTTCAACTTCCTGTAATGAGACAACAGATTTGAGCAGACCCCACACTGAAACCACACAGAAGGGCAGAATGCACTCTCTCAGCCCCGTCAATGTGTTCCGCGTACTTCAGAAAACTTACAGTTCAATGAGAAAGTTCACAAGCTCCTTTCTGCGCAATGCCAACTTTACGAAAATGGGTGGAGACCTCCTTTGCCACACTGCATCTACATGAACGGGATCTTAGTTACAGGGAACGTTTTACCTTTTGCCTCAACAGCTAGGATTTACCTATCACATGGAAGAAAGGAATGGTCTCCTTGCCTAAAACGGTTAAGGTGAATAGAGCATGACTCTTCTGTACATGATGCCATTAAAGTTTTTCTTGGAGATATATAAGCGTTTTTATTTCATACAACATATTTCCGTCTAAAATGCAACTTATTATTGTCCTCTTTCCATCTCACAACATGTTCCGGCCATACACAATCATCACCAAGTGTCTCTATTTCACTAAAATTGTTGCACTGCATGGAATGTCCAACTTCTCATATCACATGTGAATGCGGTATCTCTTAACTTAAAATAAAATTGACTTTAATTAAATCAATAATATTAGTTAAAACTTCAGTATCTTGTTTGGGGGCGTCGTCCATTCGTCCAAACGACATTGTTTAAATCTCCTTGTTTGGATTTGCGCAGTGGCATGGGTGTAGTTCCCAAGTCTGTTGGTGTAGTTGTCATGTATGCCCCCTTGAGTGTAGGTCTTCACCCTGCTTCTGTAGTAGTGCTGTTTATCGTTGTGTATGTGTAGAACTTTTTGTATTTCATCAATATAATTTTCTTCAGTTTTACTTAATTTAATTACCAAACGGTATTAATTATAATAATAAGCAAGCAAATATCGATAATAGAACAAAAACATTGACATATTCTGCGATATCCTTTACGAATTTTTACTAAGTTTCTAGAGAGGGCGTGCCTCGCGGGTAGCATGTTCAGGGGCCCCACGGTAACCCTTGTACCTGCCTGTGACTTCACTGTTATGTATAATTAATATCGGGACTGAGATATTCACGGTTAAAGTTCAGACCTGTTACCCCAGCGTATGGCCCAGTGACGGGTTCTTGTGAACACGGTAACGAACCTTCGGGTTCCTTAAAATTCTGGGAGTTCATGTACCAGTTGAGTGACTGTTAGCATCTTCAGAAGGGTTCTACTTAATGGAGTAAGTTAATTTAAATATTTATAACTTTGAAAACGTTATAATGCGAGGGTGCATTTGGAATGAAACCGTTAGTAACAGAAATTGTAACAATTTTCCATAAATAAATGAAAGTGTAAAACTTGTGCAACCTCGTACGTAACCGCCGATAACTCAAGACCTACGGCGTATCTTGTTTTAATACATATGTAAATGAAAGAATAAAGACTTACGTATGTATCCAAAATTATGATTATTTTATTCTGAAAATAAAATTGTACGTTGTTTAAACAATTACCCCAAACATGTAACAGTTTTTCTAATTTTACAGACTTTCAGCCGCCTGCCACGGCTAAACCGTAAGAGATGGATAGGACATATTGCGAGTGACAAACGTTAATAAATACGAATTTCTCAAACATGCAGGCCGTTTTGGTCTATCGCTTATGGTTTAGGAGTTACGACCATTTTTTTGCAACAAATACGGCTAATTCAATTTCTCTGTTTAGTGGATGACACAATACTATAGGCATTCAACTCACTGACGTAAGTACAAACTAAACGCTTTGGGTAATTTAAATAAATAATGTACTGTACATATAGTACTGTTTTAGTATAGTTTCAATTTTAATGTACAAAGTACATTTATTCCAGTTAACATCCTAATTTAACGTTTTCAATGTTAATCCTGGGAACCAAGGTTCCCCATTAAGAAAACAAACTCCGTGGCTTTAGTCCGCAAGCGAACTATACCGACCGAGCGACCCCCTCTCGTCGGCTAAGTTAGTGCCAAATTCAGTGGATAGAGGGTGTTGTGTGGCCAGCGCAAAGAATCGTTTCAATTTTAATGTACAAAGTACATTTATTCCTGTAAATTTCCTAATTTAATAATGTTTTCAATGTTAATCTTGGGAGCCAAGGTTCCCCATAAAAAAAACTCCGTGGCTTTAGTCCGCAAGAGAACTACATCGACCGAGCGACCGCCTCTCGTCGGCTAAGTTAGTGCCAACTTTAGCGGATAGAGGGTGTTGTGTGGTCAGCGCAAAGAATCCCCACGACCGTTAATTTCAGTTTCCTAGACTGAATCCGCTATTTCTTCATTCAAGTAGCTCTTCAATTGCGCTCACGAGGCTGAGTGGACCCCGTTCCAGATCCACTACTTCTCAGAAAAATCTGGTTGCGCCGGGAATCGAACCATGGACCTCTGGATCTGTAGCCAGGAACCCTGAACACTATACCACAAAGACCGTCGGTTCCCCAATGGCCTTTTTTAAAGAAATGAAAATTTCTTTAATACTGAGTTAAATTTTATTTTAATTTATTGAACTTGAGATCTACTCCTATATGTAAGCTGAATATCTCCCACACCCCTCGCTACCGTGACGAGACAAACTCGACTAATTGTTGTACAACATGATACGTCATGAACACGTAAGCATAATATTTATGCAACATGTGGTGAGTTAAAATTATAATTTCGCATATTTCAATTTAAACATTGTGAAATCCTGGAAGCTCCAGTGCCACATCTCTTCACTTTTATGGGGATGTAGTGAGACCTCCCTGCATACCAAGCGATCGTTTAATTACCCTTTATCAGTTGCTGGTAACATGGGGCTGCAAAGTTTTAATTGCTAGAAAGCGCACGAATGTCGCAAAAAATTAAGTGCGTTAATTTGCAGAAGTTAAGGGAATCAACAAAAACCCTCACTAACATTAAATAACACTGGACTGAACGTCCCGATGTATAACCCTGGTTAGAGTCCATGAAGATTTACCGCAGCCCCTACAGTCACATACGATATTTTCAAACAAACAACAAACTTCATGGCTTTATTCCGGAAGCGAACTATACCGGCCGAGCGACCGCCGCTGGTCGGCGAAGTTAATGTAAACTTTAGAGGATAGAGAGTGTCGCGTTGTCAGCGCAACGAATCCTCGCGGCCGTTAATTTCGGTTTTCTAGACCGGAGCCGCTATTTCTCTGAAATATTTCCTCAATTATCCTCACGAGGCTGAGAAGACCCCGTTCCAGACCCACTACTTCTCAGAAGGTCTGGTTGCTCCGGGAATAGAACCCGGGACCTCTGGATCTGTAGCCAGGAATTCTGGCCACTAGACCACAGATGCGGTCGTTACATATTTTCATACTGTCCTACACCTGGTCACAACCGCTTGATTTGATATTAATTTTAGTTTCTCATTTACAATTAACTTGCCATCCGACGATATACAGGTTGCCAGAAGCGAGTGAGTATGCATAAGAACCGAAATAAATCAAGTCAGGTCGAAGAATTAGTCAAGGGCATTCAGAATACGGAACCGAGACACATCGCTGAAGGAGGAAAGAAATAAGGTTTCATAAATACTGTACAGGACTTTTTGTAAGTTTTCAATTTACAAAATGTTAAAATAAATATTTCTTCTGAAGAGGAAAGACATGAATTACGTCACTCTTTTTGTTCTCATGTGACATTTTAGAAGACAAGAGATTGTATATTCTATAAAAGTTGAAAAAGAAGAGGAAGAAGAGGAAGATGAACGAGAAGACAGATGCTCCCGACAGCGAGTGATTGATACAGCTAACATGCTTTGGCGGCAGGTTTGCTCCCTTCATTCTAGGCCAGAATTAGCATTTGTACTAGTGGACCCTACAACTGTCTGGAGTGTACAACTTCGCATTGGAGTGTCACTGTTTTGTTGACGTATTTAATTTTGTACAAATTTATCATTGAACTGATTAAAAAGGAAGGAAAGAATTAATACTGAATATATAAACGAATTAACAAAAGGCGACTGAAACAATTAACAAAGAAACTGATGAATGAATAAGATAAGTAGCGAAGGATTAAGGGAATAATAAATTAATTGAGTAGACAATTAACGAATGGATGAACCATTGATCTAATAAAACAATTATTGAAGCAGTTACTGTAATAACGTAAAATAAATTATGGATGGACAAATTTATGAATGCAAACGTACCGAAACTAGTGAATAAAGCGAAGTACGTTATTAGGTGTGTGAAATGCAATAGGCGTGTGTGTAAGCATATTGAGTTCATTCATTCATTCATCAGTAATCTGACATATGACAGGTCCACAGTCTCTTCCAAAACAGTTCCTCCACTTAATGCGACCTTAAGCCTTCTCCTTCAAATAAAAATATCCTCTACTGTCCCCAAAGTCATCCAGCATCTTCTTACATGGTATCTCTGTTTTTGGAAAGAGACTATCCAGGAAAAGTGATAATGTGGTAGTTTTCCCATTTGCTTTCCACATCGCAGTACAGCAGCCGTTCAAACCACTCTGGTCACGCCTGTTGCTATACGAACTTGAACCATCTCGAGCATCATTTGCTCTGTGCTTCAAGTCGCTGCTGATGACGCTGCTTCCGGCATCAGTTTTTGGGGTCTCTCTTCGTCTGATGCCTACCCTTTGACCTGTCCAGCAAGGGAGGCCCTGCAAGTAGCTACGCTACCGCTGGTATAGCTCTCAGGGTCCTTGGTATACTCAAACCCCTTCACCACGATAAGGTGGAGACACCAACGAGGGGCATATTGAGTATTACATAAAAATTCGAAGATTATTCTGCCTTATCTAACAACGGAGAAGCAGAGTGCAACGTTATCGGCTCCTAACAGAAGATCACGGTATATCGTATTCGTATGGCGGGATGCTGGGGGTTCGGAGTGGCAAGTGCGAGGTATCTGCTAGCGTCACGGTGCCCAACAGTTGCGCACTGTGACGCAAAGCAGGTTCATGTAGCGGTAATACCTTAGACTTCATTATGGAAGGTTTCCAGCTTGAATCTCTGCAGGTGTTTTCGTT